AAAAGTCATTCACGTTTACAGCATCAGCATTTGTTTCCACTACTTCTATTGAGTCAGTATTGGACTAATGTTCATTTTAATTTTGATGCGATGTAGAAAAATAAAATCCTTGTGAATCTTCATCATCAGTTTGAATATTTTTTGTCTAGAAACCAGGAAACCAGAAATGTCACAATGGTCTTCCGATTAATATAGAAGCTGATATCAGCTGGTGTTTCCTGTTGTTTGAAGGAAATGACCCTCTTCAGGCAGCTGTCTGATTTTCAGCAGCCAGCTGCACAACAATGTGCTTATCACGGTTCGCTTTCTCCATCACTCTTTCTCTCTCTCTCTGTCTCTCTCTCTCTCTCTTCCTCTCAGTCAGCTCAAAAAATCACAGGGGTGAACTCTGGCCTCCTGCTGACAGTGCTGAGCCAGCGGCCGGGGCTCCAGCCCACAGCTCAACTTGCATGCTGTATCTTTGTCATTTATCTAAATCCCAGAAAATCAATTACAGCACGCTGAGGTGCCAGGGTGAAGGATTTGAGTTTTAATTTTCCTCCGTGCTCCTCGGGCGCTGGCACACGCCCCCCCGCCCCCCTCCTCCCCTCCCCTGGCACCTAGGCTTACGGATTAAGCCGAGGTAGACTTGACATATCTTGGATATTCGCAGTTGCTCGTTTTTTCTGTGTTTATATTTGTCCGTGTTACCTTTTCAGACGAGTGGACCTGGTTTTAGCTCCGCCTCATTATGAGCTCCGACATTAACTTCAGTCCTAGATTACAGCTCGCCTGTGTTCCTGTCCAAAGCAGTTGTAAGGAGTCTCATCATAACAAACTGCCAGTTGAAGAAAAATGTGTTGTTGCATGCATAACAACACGTTTTTCTTCCTCAGCCTGCAGTGTTGAAGTTAACCGCTCTGGAGTCTGCAGTCATTTACTGTCATTAGCCCAAAGTGGAGGGAGCTGCAGGCAAATCCCGTTTGCTCCTCAAATCACATCTGCGGGACAGACCGTCCGTACTGTTCTTTTGCAAGCGATCACATCGGATCCATGTGTCCAGATGTCACCGACCCGTCTGCATCGGTTGCTGTGGTAACGACATAGGTGTAGTTACCCAGGTGACACGGAAGAATGAGAAATGGAGCTTTTCATCATCTCGCACAATCGCTTTGAAATCCGATTTGAGCGTCCAGACTCAGGCTGAGACACATCTGTAGAAATCTGATTGGAATCGCATTTTCATGTGTTTTTTTTCCATCCAGACTTTCTGAAATAAATCCAATTAAAATCTGGATATGCCAAAAAAAAACAAACAGATTTGGGCCGGGAGTCTGAACAAGGCGTCAGGGTGTGAGCCAGCCCCCCTCTCGTGTTGCTTTCACACCTGTAGTTCAGTTCATTCGTCTCAGGGGGGGGGGGGAATTACACATTGCTGCATTTTAGTTGTGGTCTGCTTCTACAAACCGCCCTGCAGGTAAACATGAAGTCGTGTGGACTGACAGGTGATGCACTGATTGGACATCCTGCATTAGCAGCACCCCCCCCCCCATGGTGCCTGACTGCAGTTTAGATCTGTACGATGTGAATGTGATGCCTTTTGGAGCCACAACAGAACTGATTATAAAACGTTATTAGTAAAATTAGACAGTAAATCAACCTTATATTATGAGTAATGACAAACAAGTAGAGACGTCTTGTGCAGCAATAAATCAGAGGATCACTGTCACACTGTTTAATGGGCTTAATAAACTGCAGATACAAGCAGGATGCAGGCACATCAGAGCACAGTTTATACTGCTTTTGACTGTGCGTTACCGTGGTTACCGAATCATTTACAGATATATATATATATACATGGCTTGTACAGGTTGATTACAAGGCATTATATATTCGTTTTAACTGAACCAAACAGGTTAGGCGTGAAAGAATCAGACAGATGCTGCTGCTGCACTAGAAAAACTAAAGTTAAATCAGCTCTATAGTCCCAGAGGGGAAACCTGCTGCTGAAAGGTACTCCCGCCCAGACTGATCCGAAAATATCCCAGGTAGGAAGCAAGAAGAAAGTCCTAGTACACCAATGGCATAAAAGGGAATAAAGTAACTGGCACGAACAACACCACAAAAAACAAAAAACAACAAAACCAATTTACAGCAAGCTCCTGCAAGACGAACCGAATCAGTCGCCACAGTGTCCGCGACAGGAGGCGGCAACACGGGCTGATTTAATCCAGACTGCTCTATACGATAATGAGGAGACACAATAACCCAGTCGTAGTGATGTGTGTGTGTGTGTGTGTGTGTGTGTGTGTGTGTGTGTGTGTGTGTGTGTGTGTGTATTGTACAGTATATTCAGAAGAAGAATGCTGGAGGTAAATGTAAAAAAGTGAAATTTCACACGCTGTGTTTTTCCCATTTTTATTTTTTTCCTTCCCTTGTGGTAACAGCCGTCTGTCGTTGAGACCTGACTCTAAAAATAGCTTTTTAAGCTGTTGCCTGCCTGTTTTGTTGCATTTTTTTTTTATTTTTTTTTTTATCAGCTTGAAGTTGGCATATTTTTCCGACAGCCAATTTCAAAGATAGAAATCTCAATTTCAGAACGGCACATGGCACCTCTTAAGATGGACCCCTGTTCTTAACAACCTGTAAAACAATTTCTTCCGCCGGCGGCAGTTGGTCAGATGAGCGAGGCCTTATCAGAGTGTAACCCCGTCCCGCTTCCTCTCTGCTCTTAAACGTCCACATCGTCAACGAGCTACTGTTTAACACACAGCCTGACGCCTTTTGGTCTGTCGACATGGCAGGGATTTCTGAGGAGTGATAAGACCGGCTCTGTCTGCACTTGGTGGCCTGAACGTTGCTTTGTTATCTCTACGTTAAAAAAAAAGAAAAAGAAAAAGAAAAAGATAGCGATGGAATCCATTACCAAGCATGTGGCGGGAAAAAGGGAGTAGGAGAGTCCGAGGGGTTGCACTGCGTGTGTTATGTGAACCGGGATCAAGAAAGATCACCTCATCTCTTTGGCAGTGGTTTTTTTTTTTTTTTGCGGGTGCAATTGAAAAAAGCTTTAAAGTTTAAAAATCCACGCAAAGAGGAAAAAGTGTGAGAGAGGGAGTTAAGGGGGGGTTTGTGATTGTAAGTGCCTGCTGAAGCACAGAGCGGCAGGAAGGTCAGGTTTCAGTCTCGCGCTCCGTCTCTGAAAAGCTCACGTGCTTTCAGAAGAATAGACTCAGGATTTTTGAAATGGTGGTGAACTGTAAAGGACTCTCCTGTCTCTCTGTCTGCGTCCGCCTCGCACTGATTCCTCCCTCCCTCCCTCCCTCTCCCTCCCTCTCCCTCCCTTTTTAGAAATTCTAAACCTCCTTTCAGCTCCGTTTGTGAGCGGAGGTCATGGTCGAGCTGCCAGCCTGGGAGCGGTGGCAGCCAGTGCTGGGACCATGAGCTAGAAAATCGGAGAACCAGTAAACAGAAAGAGAGAGAGAGAGAGAGCGAGAGAGAGAGAGAGCGTGTGTCAACAGAGAAAGCTTGGAAAGTGCATTTCCGTTTTTGGCCCCGGCCAGCTCGGTGTAAAAGCGCAGCTGAAATGATATGATGACTTAATGCATTTTCAAGTAGCTGACTTTTTCACCGGGCTATTGTGGGATTGATAGCGTGCGAGCAGAGAAATGCTAACAAGGTACTTGTGTGCAACATTATGGCCTTTTAAGCAGAACCACTTGGTAACTGAAAGAATGTTTTCCTGGCTCCTAAGGTGTGAAATGGAGCTGATACCGTACAGAGATATCCAAACAATATGACTGCTTATTATAACTTTTAACAGTTTTTGTTTTTAGCCCTCTGCAGCGTGGCATTTTGGGAAACACACTCACTCTGCTTTCTTGCTCAGCGTTAGATGAAAAGATTGTTGCCACAAAAAATGAAGTATAAATTTTTTTTTGCTGTTTCACTGAGCGAATCATCACTTCCTGTATCTGTGTCAGGTGGGTTTCACCACCTCCCCGGCCCAGAAATCCTCCGATGCTGAAATGGCGTTTTTCAGACAAACAAATGAGGATTAAATTAACTCTGTTCATAACCTGTCTCTGTCTCGGCAAACACACTCGCGAGATCTGGCACCACAGATAAAATCTCTCTTCTGAATTAAAAGTAAAACTTAAATGAGACTCCTGTTTCTGTGCTTAATAATTGCTACTATTATTATTATTGTTTAACTATTTTTGGTGGGGAAATATTATTAGCCTGATATTATCTTGCACTGGGTTGATCAGATATCAAGCTAGCTGATAAATAGATGTATCTAGTGTTGTGTTGTTGTTATGTTTTGACATAGACAAGCAAGACCAAGACCACACCCACCCACTTAGGAGACAGGAAGTGTTCACCGTTTGTTATAGAATATCTTTGTTTATGTCACAGACTGTGAAGCTAAGCTAACCGGCTACTGATGCTAGCTTACTGACAACAACATAGCTAATCTTACTCCATCTTTTCTGGAGTCGGATAAGACACAAGCTCAAAACATTTGCAGGAGAAGCAGAAGGTTATTGGCTCAGTTCTGCATCATTAACGCGCAGCAGTGGTTGCGAGTTATACTCACTGTGTGTGCCGTCCCACACATTTGTTTTGTGACCTTGTACGTCTTTCTGTGATCAGACTCTGTTTTTTATTTTTATTTTTTTTATATTTTCCCCCTCTCCTTTTATCTTCATCCAAGGCCAGCTTCCTCTCTGTTGTAGGTGAGTAGATGAAAGAATAAAGACAGGGTTTTCCCAGGGGGTTATGTTTAGGTCAGTGCTTTCCACCACTTTTCACAATATCACTTTATTGCCAAAGAAAAGCAAAAAAAAAAAAAAAAATGTGCTGAAGCTGCTCTCCGTGGGAGCCTCTGTCCTCCAAATATACTGTTTCACTGCTACAGTTTGAGTTCACTCTTGACAAGCCGGGCAACGTGTGATGGATCTCTGAAGACTGTGACAAATGTGACAGCTCTGTGTTTATGGGTGGCCTCCTCTGTGCTGCAGGGCCCCGCCGGAGCGGAAGAGGCGCCGTCTCCTGACCCGTCCCGGTCCCAGCAGCCCCGAGTCCAGCACAGCTTCGTCCAGGAGCATTTCCAGGCCCAGTACAAGTGAGTCTCCTTCCTAAAACACGACCGCACTCGCACCCGCCACCAATAAAATGTCACAATTAAGCGACGACTTAGCAGCAAGGCTCTAGGTGATCCATTGCACCATATGAAGATGTCATGTTATCAGTAGCAGGTCCGCAGAGACGGGGGTCCGCACCGGACTGCCCGCTCACGCTCACGTGGTGTTTGGGGCGTCATTGTTCCAATTATACTGTAATTGCTACATACAGCAAATGTAATGGGGATGCCATTATTTCTTTTACGCAGAGGTCCTCAGAGACGCAGATGCCAGGTTAGAAGAACAGTAAATCTTCACAAGTCGGTAATTACCAAGCAGACAAAAGCAGTAAAACTGAAAAGGTCTGATGAAAAACTACCCCGCTGCCCTAACCTCTGTGCCTCTTAGGGAAATAGAAATCCCTTTGGTACAAGTACTTATTTAGAGTGCTTACCTTTTGTGCTGGGTGAAATAATTGAGGTTGTTAGCCGTGCCAGCGCTGAAGTATTTTGCACAGTTGTTAATACCTTGTGAATTTCTTTTTTTTTTTGGTTATTGGGACTTTGTGGTGATGTACAGAAAAAAAAGAAAAAGAAGAAAAAAAAACAGCTTTTCACCACACTGTATTATTAACAGTTCACATGCAGCTGGATGTGTCCTGATGACTCCCATCAATCAGTCATCCAGTCTCACATCAAGAGGCAGCTAATTGGTCTGCAGGGAGTGGAGCATCATTCAGAGGTTGAGTCTTTTTGGCAAACTCGTCCATGCACCGTGTTCTGTAGGACAGTGGCTCTCAAACCCTTTTCACATCGAGGACCCTGAACTGACAGAAATCAGACCACCGACCCCCCCCCCCGCTTTGATAGGAGTAAGATGTTTGCACTGTAGATTTGTTGCGAGCTATACTAAGATAAGATGTGCCTTTTGGCTTTCCCGCCTTTTTATGCAACGTCTTGCCGCGCTCTTATCCAGGGAGTTTTAAACCTCTGTGGCCATTCCCTCTTGGTTATCATCATACCATCATCTTACTGGGTTATTAAACTCTTAACTCATACCCTCATAGGTTCCAGTCTCTAACCAGTTCATTTAGCCGCAGCTTCTGTGTCAAGCTCCTGATTCTGATGCAAAACCTCGTGACTCCATCCACAACAAACCTTTGACCGAACTGACCGACCACACAGCTCTTAGGTGCATCATCACCAAAATCTGATCTATGGTTTTTTTAATTGATCAAACTTTTTTTAATTAAAAAGTAGTCCCTCCAGACCGAACCGCTTCCAACATCTTGTTTTATCGGTATACCTTCTTCCATCTGCCAGTTCCTTGGGAAAAAATTGTCAGCTCCGTGTGACTGCCAGTAATACATCTGTCAGAGCGCATCTCTTAATTGCCACCCCTCGCTGTCAAATGCTTCAGCTGTGAGACCTTGGGTGTGTCTAGACAGGAAGCAGCAGTCTTAACAGCCTGGCAGGCGAGAATTTGTTCCCCTCTCCTACTCAACTACTGTGCTATCCAAAGACGCAGTATGGGATGGCACAGAGCGGATATATGTACAGTATATATAAATACAGTTATATACATGACTTGGTTGGCTAAGGGCAAACTTTACAAAGGAAACCATGGAGATAAACGCTCTAGAATTGGTCTTTCCTTCTCAGTCCCGAGGCCGCACCGCTGCCTGTGTAACGCTTCGCGGTGCAGCAACGTCACGACGTGATCCAGCAGCGAGAGTTGACGGAGCCGAGCGTTACTTCATCTCCAGCTTACGTCTGTCACGTCACCACGTGCTGGAGATGAAGCGAAACTATGTGATGAACTTTTTTGATTTGATCACGTCTCCTGATTTGTGGCGGTTTCGAGCTTCTGGTACTTCGGAGTTTACAGGCCCAGTAATGGATCTGTTTATTATGTTTATATCGCCATTTCAATTAGTGAATTATGAGGCGCGCATTACGGTTTATGCCTTTTCGATTTCAGAGCATTAGCGTGGTGAATAAAACCACATTTTTCATCCCCCACAGCAGAGGATAGCTGCCAGGCTTGGCGAGAAGATTAGCTGCCAATCTGTTTAATTTTAACCTGAGACTTTTTTTTTTTTTGTTTTTAATTGCCTCTCGTAGGAAAGAGAATCAATTAGATAAAGATACCGAGGTGATGTGTCACTCGGGAAAATTCAAAGCCTTCAGCAGTGTGTTATAGTGCAGAGCATCAAGCGCACAGCCTCTTCAGCATGGCTGCATCCCAGACAGGAGGAGGGAGGGGGGGGGGATACATACCTCTCAACCTCTGCACGCTTCCTCCATTAGAGCATCGCCAGAATATCACCTCTTCCTTTGCTCCTTTTCTCTTTTTTAAGTGTTTTCGAGCAGCGCGGGGCACATCTATGTTTTAGTGGGAGCCTGAGTGTGATTTGTATGCATGGAGTGCAGCAGCTACCCTCACTGTTTCCTGGCGAGAATAAGACATCCGTAGGGCAGCCATTCTACTCTGCCAAGAGGGAGAGATCCACTAAGAGCCAGTGTCAGCTGGGCTTGCTTGAATAGAGCTTTATTCACCCCCCACCCCCCACCCCCACCCTCTCTCTCTCTTCCCTCTCTGGGTCTGTCAGGTGCCACATCTCAACAGTTCATCTATGGCTTCATTTCCAGTGGTAGGACGCCGCGTGAAGGTCGTAAAGGCCCCAACACACTTTGCACAAAGACTGTTATCTATTTATATGCAGCCGTTACAGTAGGAGAATTATTGATGAAATAAGAAAAAAAAAGAAGTTATTTCATCTCATATTTGAAATGAAAAACTAAATCAGAGTAATAACAGCGGCCCTGTGCCCTGGAGCTGACTGCATGAAAATAAAACGATGCCCTCCTTGTTCATCCACAGAAGTTCACTGTAGATGTTTTTTCATCATTATCTACTGTACTTAACTCTGTTGTGTCGAGAGGTTTCAATTACAGCAGAAGAGCAATGACTGCTGCTATTTTCTTTCTGCTTTTATTAGGTGCAACCTGTGTTATGTTTATACATATACTGCGAAGTACAGCTGCAGTCTTTTAATGTTAGGACTGAGAACTGGCGCTCTCGCTAACAGAGGTGTCTTTTCTCAAGAGAATCTTTTTTTTCTTTTTTATTCCCTAAACAATCTTCCTGTTTATTTGTTTTTCCCCCTTCTTTTTCTCACTAAATCTTTTTTTCTTCCTCCTGAAACCAGATGAAATCGGTTGCAAAAGATCCACTGAGGATTGAGCACAGACCAGTTAGTGAGATCAGTGGATCCCGAGCTGTTTCAACCATTGATCCAGGGCTGCGGCCGAATACTCGAAATAATCTCCTTCTCCTCGCCCTCGATGGAAAACATCAAGGAAAGATGTGAAGGAGAATTCATGAGGACTTAGGAAAAGACAATCCAACTGCACTTACACTAAGTTTTTTTTTTTTTTATTTAAACCAACTTTATTTATGACACATGGACAATTAATGCTCAATTAATGCATTAATGAATGAATGTGTTTCCTGTGCTGAAAGAGACGAGATAGAAGCATTGTAGCTCGTCTTTAGAGAATGAGACCTTAGCTAACTGTCTTAAGTGTTATTTTTAGCTGTCATGATCTATTTCAACCATTTATCCATTAGTTCTCTCCTTGCTTACGAACTAGTTTTCGTGCACTCTCAATCATGTGTCACAGACGACTCGATATGCAGATATATTTAACTTATTTTTAATTTGTTGAGCTGGTCTACAATCGTTCCACATACCTCTTGTGTAATAATAATAATAATAATAATAATAATAATGATAATATATCTCTGTATATACAGTATAAGGTCGGATGTTGATTGAATCTGAATCAGAATCAGAATCTGCTTTACTGGAGGAATTTATCTCCGGTTTTTCATTGCTGCTAGGTACATGCATATAAATATATATATAAATATATATATATATATATATATATATATGTATATGTACAGTTAAGAACAAGACGAGTGCTGGATGGGTCAGACAGTGCAAAAGAGCAATGAAAGTAGTGCAAAAACTAGATAATAATAAATACTAGATATGCAGGCAGGGGATGAGTGTATGTGTACATTGTTTGCTTGTTATATTACAGTGTGTGATGTTTGATGTCAGAGGTTATTGTTTCTGTGTGATCGATTGAAGTGTTCGCCAGGGTGATGGCTCGCTGTCTGGTTGTGCGGGCGTACAGCGTTCTGTAGCGCCGCCCGGACGGGAGAAGTTGGAAGTAGGTTGCACCGAGGGTGAGAAGGATCTGCGGTGATGTTTCCTCAGGGCAGTTTGATTGTCCTTTGTAAGTCTGTTCCTGTTCTGTAAGCACATATTCAACATTCACTTAATTATTGTGCATTTACATGAAGTCTTATCCAGGAAATCCTGCGCAGATTTACTCAAAAATATCGGACAAAAGATTTAATTTAGTTGCAGGACAGTTTAGAAAACCACTTCCAGCCATCAGCCCATTAACTCCAGTGGACTCTCTGACTCACTGCTCAGACAATTAGCTCACTGGAATAAATTATTTCCTCCCGTTAAGGTGAAGAGGGATTAATTGAAAGAAGTGTAATCATGAACAAAAAGCGAATGAATGGAAAACTGTCGGAACAGAAAATGACTGCTCCATGCGTTCGGTCATTTCCTCTCTCGGTGATCTGTGTCCTGTGCGTTCAGATGCAGAGGAAGAGAGAGGCCCTCACTCAGGGAAACTGCCTCAGTCTCACTGCTCGGGATCCCGTAATGGCATCAAATGAGCATTAGCAGCGCTGGTGAGAGTGATGCAACAAGATGGAAACCGCTCCTGCAGGTTTCCCCCCTTTACTGCACCAATCAACCCAGGGGGGCTTCTTCTACCTTCTACTACTTTCCAACCCCCCACCCACCCCTTTGTCTCTCTCATTCTCACCAGTTACATCACTCATTTTTCCCCCTTTCTCACCATCAGATCAAGGCGTTCTGAATGGAACAGCGTGCTCATTCTTCCTGTGTTGTTCACTTGCGTAACAAGATTAAGCCATCTCCTTTCCTGCCCGACTTAATCAGGACGACTCCGAGATTCATTTGCAAGTGTGTGTGTGTGTGTGTGTGTGTGTGTGTTTTTTACACTCTAATGTGACTGTGTGCTTTGTTTTCCTCAGATCTTCACTGACATGCCCCCACTGTCTGAAACAGAGCAACACCTTTGACCCTTTCCTCTGCATCTCCCTCCCCATCCCTCTTCGCCAGACCAGGTGAGCACTGCAGCTTGGTAAATGGACTGCACTTATATAGTGTTTTTCCAGCACTCAAAGCGCCTTACAAAAATCCATTCTCACACACACTCACACACACACACACACACACACACACACATTCATAGAACACTTTCCCTACACATGTAAGTGCTTTTCTACCAAACCTGCACATTCACACACCGACGATACATCAAGGGCAATTAAGATTTCAGTATCTTGCTCAAAGAAACTTTGAACCGAACCGAGTGCTCGACCTCCTTGGCCCATAAATGATGGTGAGACCGGTACCTGGTCTCAGTATTAATATGCAGCATCGTTGCTCTCTAGGATTGCCTGACTGTTATTACACATATTACAACAAAAACTATTTTCCAAGAGCTTGATGAGAAGATTGATCCCACTCTCGTGTCCGTACGGTAAATATAAAGCTACAGCCGGTAGGTGGTTAGCTTAGCTTAGCTTAGCTTAGCTTAGTGTAAACACTGGAAACAGAGAAACGGGCACCCCTGGCTCTAAGGTTAGCACTCTTGTATTTGTACCAATTAAACAAACAAAATATCACATGTCGATCAGTGAGCTGTAGAGGTGCAGAGCAAGGCTAGTCGTGTCCCCCTGTTTACCGTCTTTATGCTAAGCTAAACTAACCAGCTGCTGGCTCTAGCTTCATATTTAGCAACTGGAGAGTGTTAGCATCATGTAACTCATCTGACTCTGCAAACACATGAATAAGTTACAATAAGAAAACAGCCCAGTCAACACCCAGCTTTGTTCCCGCACTACATACGGCAGGAACACGAGTCATTGTGGAGCTGAACGGCCGCTATCAAAAAAAAAAAAGAAAAGAAAAACGCTGGTGGGAAAACCCTCTCAGCGCTGAGGAACAATGTGTTATTCAGCTTTACGTCACAACACCCACTCAGCCTCCATGTCGGGTCAACGCAGGTCAGCCTGTTCAGGAAATCCTGACATTATCAAGGAGGGAGACCCCATTCACTTCTCTGTTTTACAGCCAGTGCCTCTCTCGCTATAGTTAAGCCATGGTCTCTCTCTCTCTCTGTCAAACTTGTACACAGAAACACCAACATGCTTACAGTACTCCTCATTGGTCTGTACTATGTTTCTGGAAACTTTTCAGGTTCCCTCTGTTTCTTCTCTGTCGTACAGTCAGTGTATAAATGTAATATACATGTAACCTTTCACATTAAAACACCTATGCTATATATGTTTTTGAACTGTATATCTACATTATCCCAGATGTCATCAAAAAGTAATTCTCAAACCAGGAGAAATATACGATATTAATCACCTCATCGCCTGGAGACAAAAAGCCAATAAAATGTTGGGCAGCTCGGCCCCCGGCCCCCGGCCCCCGGCCCCTCGGACACGTCCTGTGTCGGTGAATCACTGATTTTCTTTAATGTGAAACTTCTTTATTCGTTGTTGAAACGTGTCCCCTGGTATAGGGGTTTTCCCCCACGTGCCATCTTTAATGCTAACTCAAGCTAACCGCTAACCTGTGCTCCAGTTAACACGTTGAACGGACGGACAAGGTTTTGATCTTTTCACATCACACCACGGCAAGAAAGCAAAATGTCCGACTACTTCTTTAACTTAAACAGAAGCATTTGATTGGCCGACCTTTTTTACACGGCGCAGCCTCTGTATTTAAAGCTCAACTCTTTTACATGATTGACACGCGGAGGTGTGTGTTGCTGTTTTAAGGTTTGCCAGGGTTTTCTTTTTCCTTTTTTCTTTTTTCTTTTTCTCGCTAGTTATTTACTTCCTTTTAGTTTTTGTCTTTGAAATAGTTCATACAAGTTCAGCCAACGTTCCTTCTAATTTGGGAAATGGCTTTTAAGAGCTTCATTCTGACAGTGATCCAAGTCCAGAGTATTTAGTTACCGTCCTTTTTTCTTTTCTTTTTTTCCACTGTGTGGCAGAGAGGGTGAGGGAAAACACTTCTGAAGGGATAAACAGATGGATTGTATTTTAAAGCATTTTTTTTTTAGATTTCTCTGTGTGAAGAGATCAGCTCTCTCTCTCAGCCAGATCATGTCTGTAAGCCACAAACACACACTGCTTGTTACCGAACCAACACTCGCTGCGCCCGGCTATCCAAGCACTGGGCTCGTGTCCCTTGGCACGACACGAGCACTTTGCATGTTGGATGGTTTTGTTTACACTATATCGCTGCTTCTCTGTGAATGTGATATGGACCTTTTGTATATAACTGCAGCCATTAATCAGATTCATTAACTTGAGCAACATGTTGGGGCTGTAGATGTCTAAAGGCTTTAACAGTTGAAGTGTAATGAATCATTTTAACTTTATTGTATTTTGATATAGTAAATTAAGGAAAAGGTAGGAATTGTTTCTAATTAATACTGAAATTAAAGCTTTTATTGACCCTTGCAGTCTAATCCCCACTGCAGTGGTTTAGCTGTTTCCCTGTTTCGATTTGTTCATAGTGGACATTAGTAAAAAACATAATTTGCATAAATTTGCGAGACCTCCTTGAGCAGCGGCTTGATAAATGCTGCCAATTTACTGTACGCTCTGCACTAGGCTCTTTTGATGTCTCCTGTTTCCCAACCCAAATCAGTGGAACAGGAGTGAACACGTCGCTTCAGTAATTTGTGTACAGATGAAACAATACTACTGTAGCCCAACAGCGAACAGTAAAAATTATGCAGATTTGTCCTGTTATGCAGAAATCTGCCTTCCAGTTAGTTATAGAGCCAACTTCAAAGTGCTGCCTCTCAGTTTATGGATCACTTCGTTGCTCGGGGCTGAAATACATTTCTGATATGCTTGAGGAACGTAAACCCAGTGGGTCCCTTAGATCTTTCAGAAACATGGAGCCAAACCACAACATACAGTTAGTGTGTGGAAACAGTGAAACAGTGGTTGGTGTTGAACTGCTGGCATGTAACTGATCCTCCATAAAAACACCGTGGATATACGAGGGATGTAAGTGAATATTAATACATTGGTAAAGCTATGCATGCATAATGTGCTTTGTACAGATACGAACAGCATCTGAGTTTTTGCACACACACACACACACACACACACACACACTGGCAACTCACTCTTTACAGTGGTATTAGGATCTCTGGTGTCCAGGTACAGTTTGAAATTAAAGTCAGTAGCTTTCTCAGTTTTCGTTATAAACACTAGAACTTTCTGTGTCTACAAGGTCCTTGGTTCAGTTTTTGTCATTTTTTTTGGCTAAATGCAAGAACCAAACGAGCTCTCCTCCTTGCTGTCAGGAAGCGTGCACGTGTGCGAACGTGTCCGTGCACGTATACCCCTGACTGTAGTGATAAATAGAAGCACGTCCGCATCTGTCCGAGGCCCAATAGAAACCATGAACTGGGCTTAACTTTATTTTTTACCTGGACCTCCTCCCATGTCATGTGCAATCTTCTTTTTCAATCAATAAAATCAATGTGGTTTTTATTTATAGCTCTCATTGTTTAATCAGACGCTTCAGACCAACTTTACATTCTCCATTATAGACACGACCTCCAGTCCTTTTTTTTTTATTGCGCAGTGTTCTGACCTGTAATTTCCTACCGTTCAAACTCTAATGTCACAGTTATTAATAGTTACTGAGCTTTTATTTAAGCAGAGTCATTAAACCTGCTGAGTGAGGTATCGAGGCTGACAAACTTTACTCCACCGCAGAGTCTCAGAACGTTCCTGAAGAGCAATGTTTGGATTTGTTCGTTTCCTTCTGTAAACTGACCTGAGGAAATATTTTATGGACAAGATCCAAGTGAAGAATCCTGATTTGTTTTGGTTTTTCTGTTGCTGATCTTGAGTTTTAATGTGGAGACTTTTATTTTGTTTTGATTATTTGTCATGTAGCCATCGAGGTTGTTGTTAAGTGTAAGGCCATGATGGATGACACTCAAAGAATCGATCAATCGATCAATCAATCATGTATGCTTTAATATTTCATCAATTCAGGTAAATGTTTAAAATATGATGAATGTTATTTTGTATATATTGTGAGCAGGTAAACTGATGTAAATATGAATTTGAACATAAATATTTTTATGACATAAACAGACGCAGAGAGCAGCTTTGTGTTTGCGAACCTCTCCGTTTATTTTAAGTTTGTGCAGCAGACTTCTCTCCAGGTTTCTGTTTCAGTTATGTTTTTGTTTTTATTTTTATCTTTCAGAAGAGATGTTCTGACTTCGCTTCCTCGTGTTTCTGTTTTAGCTCTCCACCTTTCTTCTCAACTTCAAATACTCAAGTTTTTTTCTCCTCCTCCCCCCCCAAGATAAAAGATTTGAGTTTGGCAGTTTAGCCACAGCCTCCAGGCCGTAGGTCCGTACGGATACAGACTCTCACAGGTGCCGGATGGAGGTCCTCCATGTCTCGTCAGTTTACTGTTATTCACGGAAGCCATTACGTCCCAGCACCCTGCTCATGTCAGCGCTGACTCTGGAGAGGTCAGAGCCAGGCGCGCTCTGTTTTTAAAAATGCAATAGAGATTCCATTATTTCGCACGCATAAAACTCCTAATGATCTATTATTAATGTTAAAATGTATTGATTTATTCATGAAAGTCTTCTTTTGTCCCTCCCTGGCCATAGAGGAGGCTGCAGTGGGAATGGCACATAAAAATCAAAATAGAGGCCGCTCTATTTCCCACCGTCCCTGACTGTGTGCTCTGATGTGTGGCAGGCCGCTGTGTGTGACTCTGGTGTTCAGCACCAAAGGGCAGAGGTACCTGCGGGCCGGGCTGGCCGTGCCTCTGTTTGGCTCTGTGGCCTGCCTGAGGAGGATGGTGGCCGACGAGGGGAAAATCTCTCCAGACCAGGTAACGTAAAGCGGGAATAAACAGTGGTCAGTGTGGACCTGTATTCCTCTTAAATGTTCCCGTTTGTAACCATATTCTGCTTGTAAAGAAGAATATCCCGCACACTGCTCTCGCTCGGCATCAACATTTATTAATCTTGATATTATATTAATAATAATAAATTATTATTATTATTATTTAGAGCACCTTTCATACAAATGTTGTCGCTCAAAGTGAGTTACAATAAAAAATGAAATAGTACAATAGAATTAGGGTGAATAGAAGGACAATGAAAGTAAACAATAGAAAGGCAGTAGATGATAAAATATGTAAATGAAAATAAAAACAGACAGAATTGCAAAATATGGGAGCATTAAAAAATGAGTGTGTTTATAGTACAGTGTGTCTTATTCTGACCTTTTATGCTTCCCATTGGCTTGAATTTACTCTCAGCTTAAATAAATAATTACGCTGGATTTGAGATCTGTTGGTGTTGCATCAAGTGGGTTTAAAGTTCACTCATTATACGCATTATAAGAATTATAATGGCACTGTAATGAGGAAACTAATGTGTGTGTGTGTGTGTGTGTGTGTGTCTCCAGGTGATCCTGACAGAGGTTTACTCCACAGGGTTTCAGCGCTCCTTCTTTGATGAGGACGATCTAACCTGCATCGCTGAGAATGATGTCATCTACGCCTTCCAGGCTCCGCCCCTCTACATCAGAGGAGGCTCCGCGCGGATCTCAGGTAGCTGCATGACTGAAGTACAACAGGCGCTATAGTTTTAGTCACAACACATTGTCTTTGGTACCGTTAATGTGGATGTACAAACAGATCTGTGAGAAAACAAACCAGTTTTATTAAGTTACTCTGCTTAACGAAACCCGCGGGGAACGCACCTTACTGCACGGGGGCCCTTGGAGAGCACGTTAAGAAGTATATATATCATCACACACAGCTCTGTGAATTACGTCCTCCCTGTGCAGATTTATGTCTTACGTCTTTCTTGTCATTTCATCTGTTCCTCAGATGCGAGCTCTGAAGTACCTCAGTGCGTAGTATCCCCTTGTTTCTCGCTTTGTGCCGTCAGCAAATAGGTTCTGCTCTGTTGTCCCGTCCCACAGGGCTGTGAGTCCCAGCATTGTGTTAACGCTGCCGTTCTGTCTGAAAAATGGGACTTTTAGTGCTTTAATTTATGTTGCTCAATGACCGCACAAAGCAGTGCTGCCCCCACCCTCGCCCCCTCCAAACAGTCTGGCTGGTCTGCGTGCTGGCTCAAACTAAATCCCCCTGTGTTCTCACCGGCTCTGACTTGCGGGGTTGATATAGAGTCTACATCACCGCTCAACACTTTCCTGTGCACAGCAGATTGTGCCGTCATTCGCGTTGCTATGTTTACACAGATGTTATCATCTTAAGAGGAACATTAACATCTTTAGGAAATGTGCTTGTTTGCTGTCAAACTTATTCACTTTGAGATTTAATACCTCTCCTCCCACCGCCACTATTTTTTATCCCTTCTGGGACTTTTTTGACATTAAAAAAAAAAAAAAAACTGAGTAAGCCTAAATGTCAGCATTAGCTCGTACTGTTGCTTAATGTAAAATAGTCTCTTACTTAGCTAATTAATGAATATTCCACCAGCTTCTCTTAAATTACTTAAATGCATAAATGACAAATTAAGATAATTTATTTTTATTTCACTCAATAAAAGGCAAGTGCAGCTGCAGCACATAAATATTTTCTGCCACTCTGTTTGTGATTAATGAAAGCTATAAGATCAAAATAGCATATGAGTAAGGAGGACCATTAAAGTCCTGTATTAATGTTTAAAATGCACATTTTTTTTTTACACTGTCTGACACCTTAAATTGTGATTATGCCCCCTCTGCAGTTATGTCTGGCCCTAATTAATTATTAATCAATTATCCGTAAATGCTTAAAGCTATAATATGTAACTTTTCCGCATTAAAATGTCTAAAAACAACTAAATAAACCTGTGTTAAAAATATTTTGAGTCAAGTCTTGTTAAGTCGCTCTGGATAAAAGCGTCTGGAAAATGAGTAAATGCAACGTAAAAACCAAGAGAAATCCATGATTTTAATCAAGGTAACAGTCTTTTCCATGTGTCGCCTGTCAATAGCGTCATATCCGCTTTGCACATGAGTTTTGGTCGTCTGCCAGAAGTGATCGAGGCTTACGATACGATGCACTTATATATATATACAACTGTATATTTCAACTGGATTAAGGATTTTAGTCATCGGTCGTCTGGGTCTGAAGTTATCGGAGAAACAAGTTTTTACAAACGTCAGCAGCAGCTCGGCTCTGAGATGCAGGACGGACTGATACTTAACGTGAAAGGGCTTTATTCTGTGTTTTTACTGACTTTAATCACCAGGGTCCGTTTGTTCTGGAGAAAACCTCCTAAAGATTAACACTGAAGGAATCCTAACCGGAAGACGCTGACTGCAGTGACAGCAATAGTGGTGAAGACATCAACTCCCATGATCCCACAGTACTTCACAACAACTTCACAAAAGAGACCCCTGGCAGCAGAATATTATATATTGAACGTTTAAATGAAAGTCTTAGGGATCAGATACGAGACAGGAAAACAAACTCTAACCGGGGGTCTCACTAAAGGTTAGTGTAGTAATTATGTTGTGAAGCGCAAGTTATCAATGTAGATTATGTCCTTAGGTGTTGAATGAAGACACATGGGTCTCTGTGAGCCAGGACATCTTGTGGGAAATTTAAAGCAGAAAAATCAGATTGTAACTCAGTTTTATCATGCTTCACTACGCGCATTTGTTTCCTTGTTACTCGTACCACACTTCATAGATTAAATTTCACCGGCATCCAATCAGTGAATTTCAAGGTAATAGTTAGCCACAGTCCTAACTTTGATTTAAAACCTCCTGAAGAGGAACGGCCGCTACACACAGCGTGAGGTTGCTGTTCAGTCAGTGTCTGCCATGAATAAAAAAAAATTACAGAGCGTTAGATTATGCCAAAAACAAACCCGTGGTGATGTGACCTTCCCAACTCCCAGCCTCGCTGCTCTAGTCTTCAAATTAATCTCTTACATCATCGTCTTAGCTCTGCATCTTTCACCTCTCCTCTATACTCTCATCATTTCATTCTTTTCCTGCCACTTCCGTCTTAAGAAATACTGCCTGGCCACTATTGCTCTGACCTTTGACCTTTGTACTTCCTGTTGGTTATAATTTCAAGAAATAGTTCAATATTTTGTGGAATATTTTTCCTGCCAAGTTAGGGGAGAATACCACGATACCACTCTCGTACATGTACAGTAAATATGAAGTTACAGCCAGTAGCCGGTTAGCTTAGCTTAGCATAAAGACTGGAAAGTATTCCTTTTTAAGAAACAGCAGCTTTATGTGATAAACTATCGTCTCTTCGCTTACGATGGAGCTGCACATACGTTTTAATCGTTACTTTGACACCATTCACGTCGTCTTAGTGAATTGAGGACAGTGGAAACATGATTAAGTGCCTCTGTTTGTGTTTGGATTGCAGCGTTTTCATGAGCTTACCATCTGGCAGTCAATATAATTGAGGTTTACATTAATAATTAATATTGTATAAAACCTCAAAGAGTTATCTGAGAGAGAAATCTTCTCTGTTTGGGATTTGATGGTGCACTGACAGAAATTAATAAGCATAAAATCACTGTATGGAGTACTGGTGCCAGTGATGAGATTTGGGCAATATGGGCTCACCTGCCAAAGAATATTTGGAAACAGATAATTGGCTTTCACAGTTAAAGATCCATTTCACATTCTTTTATTTCTGTTACAAACAGAAAACAGGATCTTCCTTCCTCTTCATTTAGAGCCCAGTTTTCTGTAAAGTGAGATCATCTTTCATAATGTACTTTGGAATTTGTTAATAAACGTATGGGCTGTTTACATGTGACAAACATGCAGGGACGTGACTTGAGGAGGTTTAATCTGTTGATGCTGCAGAATGTCGTATCGTGCTACTAGTGGTACTTCCCTTTCTGTTTCCATCTGTCAAGGATTAGTTGGTTGTTCAGTTGTCCATTTTGTTCCATACTGAAATATCTGGAAAAAAATTTGTGGAATGAAATGAGACCAACACTAATGTTAACTCTTGTCTCTATAAGATAATAAGATGAGCAGATTTCTGAAATGAAAATCAGGGACATTGCCAGTTCGGTGGTCAATATATCATTAAAATATCCAATGTTTTTACCTATGAAATAAAAAAAAGAAAAGGGGGATAGTCCTGGTGGTGTATTTTGACCATGGTAACTGTTGGTGAACTATGGTGAACGACAACTTATAAAACGACGACTCCCTACCTTTGAAGCTATCGCATCATGTTCATTTAGTTCGTAAGTGTCCACAGATCAAAAGAATCAAAAGTGTTTCTCATAAAGGTAATTCCAGGTTGTGAATATTACTGTGTGAAGTCCATTGCAGACAGTCAGGTAATGACTTCTTCTTCACTTCTTCCAATATAAAAACAAATCTTTCAAGTTCCGGCCCCCTGGTTCACAGCTAGCGGTAGTTTACTTTGGCACCATGTGTCACATTCTCAGTCCATAAATTCATTTCTTTAAACAAATTACTTATTATGTAATATTTAAAAATAAATATGCGTTTGGAAATCGAAATAAGCTTAAGTCAGATAACATGTGCATGTATGTGTCTAACCACCATTTTTGCTCAAAGACCTTGACTATGACTGAGCAGACAGCTAATGGGATTGGGGGGGGTGTACTGTAGCTGTGGGTAGAGTAGATCCCTTTAGAGGCAGAGGTGTTTAATTATGGGCTTTCACATAGTCTGGCTATGTTTAGTCTGGCTCATCCTGTGTGTGTGTTTGACAATGAAAGAAGCCTGAGAGTGCAGAGGAATGATGAGTTCACAGACTTCCTGTGGTTACTTAGAATTAGTTAGAGGCTTTTTGGCAACAAGAGATTATGATCAACAGGTATGTGGGCAAAACAGACTTTACTTTTGGTGTGTGTGTGTGTGTGTGTGTGTATGGTACACGTTTTCAAATGGGTGTAGTGTAAGTACCTTTTTCAGTACAGCTGTGGGAATTGTTCAGCACACAACTCATACTTCCACCATTATTCATCTTGTAAACAAGTAAAAAAAAAAAAAAAAGAAAGAAGAAAAGTGTAATCAGCGACAAGAGCCTTGAAAAATATGAGCAGCAACAGTGCATTTTATGACAGGTACCAATACAAAAACTTTGATTTAATGAGCGATGAGAGGTAGTTCTCCACCCCAGGCCTCCCTGTGTAAATCTTCGTGGGACAGGCCAGGAGGTGACATCTGCATTTTACCGCTGTTTCATGAACATGTTTCACTGAGAATTTAAAAGGCGAATTTTACCCCCATAAATCATCCCCGCAGCTGTCAGAGGTCGCCGCTCATGTAAATTACAGCGAGCGATTTAAGCAAGTTTTATCACTTGCTTGATTAGAACGACATTAATAAATGAAAAGCAGTGCACACTTGTCATTACTCTCATTCTCAGGGTCAAGACACTGCAATCAGAGGTTTTAATGTTAAAGCGTCGGTGGTGTATATGTAGACTTTGATTAGTTTTAAATAGGTCTTTCCCTTCATACAAGGCAAAGCTTAATGACCTCACACCCCAATTATTTCTGTTAGATGGAGGGGGGGGTGCTAACACAGTGGCTCACTGCTTTGCAAGGATCCTAGCAACAAGATGCTCAGCAGTGGCATTTGCTGTGTCACTGATGAATCATGTGTCGGGTGTAAACAACAGCGTTTAATGAAAAGTTTGGAGACAGCGCAGCCGCCGTGGTCAATCAATACGCTCTCGTCTGCGTCTGAGGGTCTAATTTACCCATGTGATTTATCACCATGAATTTCTGAGGATGCTGACCTGTGTGCTAAGCCCCAGCGGTTGTCAGCTGTGTGAGAGACGAGAAACGCATCACCGGCGACGTCACGTCACACTGGGATCTCATAATCTCGGCTTTTCGCGCCCAGTCAGTCAAACCCCTCGCCGCTGGTGGAGACGCGAGGGGGAGCGGAAGGCGAGTGATGCTCGGCACCCCACCAGGACAGGATGTGGAGCAGAAGCTGCATCAGATAATACCTCCTGCTGAGAGTGCAGGCAGCCATTGGTCCATCTGTTCTCCCCTCTGAATCACTGTTCCCCAAATAGAAAGCTGCTGTCTCGCCACTTTATACTTCTCAGTCCTCCTCCTCTCTCCTTGTTAGAGGTGTTAAGATGAATGATCACATTTTCAGTACTTGAATTCAGTTCTTTTTCCTTCTGAAGGAGAAGATGTGAAATGTCATGCTGTAAGCTATCAATGTTAAAGTAAGCTGTTCGCCTCTCATGTCTTCGCTCTCTCACCCCAACCCCCACCCCCCTTTGACTTTCTCCAGGGTACCATCACAGCCTGCCATCGTCTCCATACTCCACCGGTCCTGAGGGTCAGAGGTTACCTTCATCTGGGACGTTGTCGTCAGAGTTCCTCAACCAGGGCGTCCCGGTCAAGATTCTTCTGTTGGTGTGCAACGCTGCAGGAGCAGGGCAACAGGCTGTTAGGTAAATAACATCAACTGACCCTTCGAAGACCAACCATAACTACTGTTGGTCTGTCAAGCTTTGGGTTGAGTTTATCTTCTCTATTTGTAAGTTTTGCTGTTGCTGCATAGCCAGCGTTAGCTTTAACCGCTCTTTACTGACCCGCCTCGAGGAAACTTTGCAAGTGGAGTCCCGTATAATGCGGGATCGTCTCATATTTGAAAATAAAATGCTACAGGACACAATTTGTCCTGTATTTGCGTATATGTCGTATCAATTATAAACTGTCCTCAATAAGGAAATGTCAGTTATAGCCTACAAATGGACTGGAGAAGTCTTATCAATGAGCAGTAGACTGACGAGCTGGAATATATCCGCTTGTTTTGCTTGTCAAGCTCTCAAAACATCCATAGCTTATGTTAGAGTCAATAACATTTTAATTAGTTTATTCATGTGGGCTAACTAGCTCCACCCTCCAATACAATACTAATCATTTTTCATTGGTTTCACTAACAGCCTTTAATCAAATGTGAGTTCTACGTGCAGTGTTTCGGCTCACATGTTTTCTCTCCAGCCTTGCTCTGCTGAAGCACATCAAGGTCATTTTAGCTCCCTGTTGGAGAAAGGACTCACATCTCACTGTGAGATGAGTTTCATATCAAACGACTGAGGAATGTGACATCTGGCACGATATAAAGATCCATTAGACACACCCGTCTCCCTGACAGAGTCCAGAGAGATCAATATAGGTGAGCTCGCCAGCACAGCTGTGAGAAAGTCCAATCCCATCCGTGAGCGTCGGCGTCTCGGTTTCTCCTTCAAACGCCTCCCCGTCATTGATCAAACCACCAGCCTATCTCGCTCTCATCAGATGACAGCTGGAGGACTTGTCTGTGCCAAGAAAATGACATTGGAGTCACATACTTGTTTCTCGCTCTGGTTCTCTGTAGAACAGCATCAGGTACGTTTCTGAAACTCGGCACAGTGTGAAAGCTTTCAGTGTTGTTGGTTTGTAGTAGTCGACGGGAATTCAGAAAGTTTCACATTTTATGTGTGAAAGTAAAAATGTTTGCCGTTTTTTTTTTTTTTTTTTTTCGCATTACCTCTGTTGAAGGTCAACAATTTGATTTCGTTGACATTTAGCTTCTCACGTCGGTGAAGGCAGGGGAAAAATAAATAAAGATCATTGTGAACTCAGAAGTAGATGATACATTTCACTGCATGATACCGTGAAAAATGTCTTGAAAGAGGGAAATAAATCAGACAAGATGTCAGACTTCTAAATGTTTTCACTGCACTCTGTGTCGATCTTTAGGTCACATGAGTTAAAACACTTTTTTATGAGCTCGATGAGGAGATAGAGAGTCGTTAACGAGAGGCCTCTGGATTTAAACCGAGCCAGTTAACCTGCCACAAAAGAATGGAATTGTTTTGTCTCTTGCTCCATAGCAGTTTCCAATTAAATTAATTGTAATTTTAAGCCCCTTTCCTTTCCGTTTTTGTGGAGTGTATTTTTCTTTTCCCATGTCGTGGTCACGCTGCCGCCACAGAATGTTAATGGTTACCATCCTGAACAGTAATCCAACCTAATTTGTTTGGAGGATCTCCATGGTATCTGCTTACGATCTAATGGGAAAATTGTGTGACTGATGATCTGTTTGGTTTCAAGGTCTGCAGAAATCTAAAAAGGAAAAAGGAAAAAGAAGCATGAAATATAATTGAAAAAAAAAAGGTTATTTTTCATTCATTATCGTTATATTCCTGCCATTTAATATACAGTTTTTCATAATACCCCATGTCATCATTCACTGTGTATGAGCGTCTTTGTCTCCTCCTGCACACGTGTGCTCATATGGTCTCATACTAATAAATCCGAAGCATACAATGGAGGGCTGCCCTCAATTAAATGTGTATTATAATAAACGTGCTATGTGATCTATCATCTGAAATGAAGGTGGTCCCTGTCGTCATCAAGCTTTTTTTCCCACTCCTCCTTATCTCCGTCTCTCTCCTTCCACTGAAAGGCTGTAATGAGAATTCTGCTCTAATGCTGATAATGTTAATAAATAATTATTTACATTACAATAGAAGAAGGACGAGGAGAGATGTGGAGTGCTTGAGTTGAGTTGAGTTGCTGTGAGATGTGTTTCGAACCCTGTAACACTAATTTCCTCCGTCCCCCGTTTAAGGTTCGGGCCTCCATTTCTGATGAGGGAGGACCGGTCTATTTCCTGGGACCAGCTGCAGCAGAGCATCCTTAGCAAACTTTATTACCTGATGATCAATGGAGCTCAGGCACAGGTACCGGACAGCTACTTATAATAATGTGATAATTTATTGTTTCATGTGAGACAAATTCTGTTTTACCTCACTTCATGGGAATATCAAAACACAGCAAATGTTCGAACCCAGGTTCTCCAGTTGAAGCCTGCCAACTGGTAATGATCTCACATCCAGTAAAAGGACAAAAATGAATATGAGACAAAACTCAAAACTCAACTTGCTCTGCTAATTAAAGCAGGGGGATACAGACAGTCATACAGTAAATCTGCAGAAATACAGCATCAGCTAGAGTGGAGAGATTTATTATTTATTTGATTTTTATTCACCGCAACCACAACCAGAAAAGCCTGGACCAAAGTTGCACTATAGCCGTGTGCAGCAAGTCAATAGAAATTGCTGCATGATGCTTGTAAAACTCATATTTAATAGCTGTGTAGTGTGGGCGGGTGAGTTTTGAGCACCAGCTGGAGGCTGAGAGGGGACATGCTTCCCTCCTGCCACGCCGGCTGGTGCACCTGTTCCAAGACATGTTTATTGGCATGGGACGGAGCAAAGCATGCCCACACAAAGACACTGTGTGGTACAGGTGCGAGAGCTCGAAGCGTCAGCTGGAGGCAAAGAGGAACGCTTTGGGACGGGTTATGGTGTTCTACCGGCACAAGTAACGGTCAAAGAGAGACAGAGACACACATATGGTTGTTTGCTCTCCATTTGGACAACCCTGTATTTGTCCTGGGAACATTACTTTTTTACTCATCCCCCAGTACGGACGTATTACTGCCCTATCACATTTACTGATGCCGCCCCGGCCTCTGCTGCAGGAGTCCTCTGCCTTCATTAGTGCCAGTATTAAGAGTAAATACTGGACTTTGTCAGCAGGTCAGAGCTGTTTGCAGCGAACACAGTTCAGTCTTAGTTAGGGTGTTCTGTCTTGTGTCTGCACAGGATGGAAAAGTAATTGAAACTTTAAATGAAAAAACACAGGTGAATAACATTAGACACAAGAAATAAATTCATATTAAGTGCTCGAATTGCGATGTGTGAAATTTCAACAAGGCCTTTTGTATGCATGGGGAGGGCCAACACACAACCAGCTTTTTAAAGGAAATGGATGGAACTAATAGAAAACATTACAACAGTTGAACCTGGAGAGAATAACTACAAATAATGCAACTGAATTATTTAATGAGGTTGCAGGAAAAAATAATGCTTGATGATGTTTATTTGAATGCAAAGCTGAATGTGTAATTTATTGAATGCAAATTAACACTGTGCAGGGATTAGGGGATATACTTTTTATTCCTAATAATCATGAGTCTAAAATTACTTTACATTGAGAAAGTCACTGAACTGCAGCAATGGAAAGTGCTAATGCAAAATCGTACTTTGTGTTTTACTCTGGGTTAGCTTTAGCTGGCTACCATGCTAATCTTGCTTTTTGCTTGATTTAAAGCTGTGGTTCAACAGTTTAGGAAAAGTGCTCTCATAACTCTACAGTTAACGTGAAGCTACAGCTATATGAGACCATTAGCTTAGCTTCACACAGACTGGAAACGGGCTAACGGCTAGCTTGGCCTGGCATTGGCCAAAGATTGTTGCCAGGAAACCAGCGGAGACTTGAGTAAGTTACTGCTTCCAGCTAATAAAAAGTCTGCCACATAAACCTCTGTAAAACTGCAAATTATTATTTTAACACTTGAATTTTTGTACAAATTAAACAAAGTGTTCTCATCCAACTCTCTGCCAGAAACCAAATAAACATATGTCCCGAAATATTTAACTTTTAATTTAAGAGGTACTGTGTATAGTTTCAATTTTGATCGCTCGGGAAACACACAAAATGCTGATTTCCCATAATTTATCAGATCATTCCAATAAACCTTTAATTACCTGATTTTTTTACGCCCAAAATGTACATTATATATATTTGCATATATATGTCTGTGACAGGCAGTAGGACAGTGTGTGCTAATGAGACTAAATGAGTCAGAAGCCAAGTCGTTGTCAGTCGTCCATGCACGGCTAAAAAGAAAGCACAGTAGGCTCGTTTACTTTTCCGCTGATGGTGTGACTACGGTACAACGTAAGGGACGCAATGACAGAAATGCCAACGGCGTATTTTCCTTCGATGCACCCCCTGCTGTATGTCACTGTCGACTCAATTATTTACTTCACTGAAGCCAAAGGGTCCGTTTTCTTGCTTTGCTCACTTGCTTGTAAAGTACAAATGCCCGTGTTTCAGGATCTGATTGTGTGCAGTAGCATGCTGTTAATCATCTAGTCAAACGGATTTCCGATCAATGTCACAGCTGCAATTAAGAGCCATATGGAGCCTGGACTGTTCTGGGAGAAAAGTGTTGACCGACTCGGTGCATGTTACTCAGTGCTCTTTGAGAAGTGCCAGGAGAGAGCGAGAGGAGAAGAGTCAGGTGCAGCATTTTCAGTAACTCCGTTGGAGATCGGTAGTCTCCTTTTGTGCCTCATGCTGTCAGCCGTTTAATTAAAACCAGGCTCGTACAGTATAATCAGTTTGCTGGAGCCTACCTCTGCCAAGAAAGGAGCAATGCTCAGAGCAGATGTTTGCTCTAAATCTTTCATCTCAGCAGAAACTGTAGTTTTCTTGCATCAATGAATTACACTCACAAGTGGATTTCTCCGCTTCTGTCTAATTTTAGCTTCAGCAAAGATGCAATTGAGAGAAACAAAAACACGGCCTCTCTGACAGCCATTCTTCCTGCTGCTGACACCAATTGACGACTTGATTTTAACAGTGGCTGGCTTGATGCTCGCTGAAGCAGACCTAGCTGTATGATATCCTGCAGCGCACTCATCATCTGCAGAACTAGAATTAACAGACGACCACTGTCACACACATACTACATTTTTGATCCGGGGACCCTGAGCTGTTGGGATTTTGGTGTGATAACTAACACACAGTGCGTGTATTGGCCCTGAACGTTGCTTACACAGACAAATGTTAATCCGCTGTACACACACAATGCTAAAACTCACAGCATAATGAAACACTGTGCTCTTTTACATTGGGTGGTAATTGGAGATCGTTTGCCTTGTCAGGCACAAACAATGCCGCAAAACATTCCCCTCACTGAGCACAAAAAAGTGATTAACCTTGGTCGAAAGCAAGACCAAGGATTTTCCCATGAGGGAGCATAAAAAACTTTCTCGTCTCCACCAGTGTCTGTGGAGCCCTCGTGCTCATGCACTCCTCCGGCAGGATGCTGCGATGAATTTTCACAGGTTTTCTCTTCCTCCTCTCAGAAACTCGCGCTGACGGGGGGGGCGGGTGACACCGCTCGGAGCCTGACCAGATCTCAGATGCTCGTTTGTTCATTTTTTTTCCCTCTCACTCACACTTACTGTCTTTTCACACACACACACAATGTGTTTACACCGCCCTGTTTCTCTCACATATTCCTCTTCGTCTGTCCATCTTGCCACCGCGGAGGAAAACAAACATGGTCTCTTTGCTGATGTGCTGTTCAAAAAGTGACACATGATTTTATGATTCAAGCTTTGGAAAGTTCATCATGTAAAAAGAAAAAGGTCTTAAGTAAGTCGACACACAGATGTCATGTCCTACAGCTGCATGTCCCGGCCAAAAACACAGCATCCTCCACAGGTTATAATACATGGAAATAAACGGCATTGTTCTTGTATCGCTAGTTAGCTAGTTGCTTGATGTAAGACGAGTTTTTTTTAACATATCTGTGTTTACTGGCGTTACAAGAGAAAAGGCTTTTAGGACGAGGACTAACCGATGTGTTTGCTGTTCCATCTTACATAACAAGTTTGACTGGGTTGCTGAGACAGAGCTGCTAACGTTAGCTAGCTTAAACCATCAGCAAGTAACGATTAACGCCGTAGGTAGTGACCTCGTTTCCATCTTAAGTTTTAGCAGACACAAACACATCCTTTACTTCGTTCCTTCCACTTTATTTCTTGTGTTTTGTGGCTTCGGAGATGGTAAAAACAAAAAGAAACCACCATCCAAGAGTCGTTCCTACCACAGCCCCCAGACACACCGCTTCAGCATGTGGAGAAGTTCAGAGCTCGGCAGGCCTGTCATGTAATATCTAATCCACAGACCTGGTGAATCCCCTTGTTGAAGTAGCTTTGCTAACACCTTTGGAATGTGTGGAAATGTATATCATATCATTTTTCAAACAATGTTTGTTGGAAAAGAAAAAACCCTATTCCTGAGAAGTTGGAATTAGCAGGACTCCTCCCTGGGTGGTCTTCACATGTGCATACAAGCCTTGTACTGGGACTCCCATTGAGCCCAAACACGTCTGTAATGAAAAGAAAACTTATTTTTGGGTTTAAACTTGTCATCTTGCATTCCATTTTATACCGCAGATTGAAAATGAACACACAGAAAACGTTGATGGGTTGTCTGGAAAAGCAAAAACCGCCTGAGCACCACAGGGGGGTTTGATGGCCGCAGTGTCCGTAAACACAAGATGCTGAAAGATGAAGAGAAGATAATACAGTCTTAATTACACGACTCTGTGCGTGTACTCAGAATGAGACCGTCAAGTGGTTCCTGTTTTCAGTACTAACTGCTGCAGCATTTCAGCAGCTGACCGGCCCGATGCTTTTAATAACACGGCATATTGCATATGTGTGGCAGTGATTCGGAGGTGTTGTGTAACTGCCCCGAGAAGGGTTATGCATTCCTGCGGGTTCATGTGTTCATCATATGAATGTTTTCCAGGAATCTGCTGTCTGCTTTGCTGTGCTCCTCGTCGTCAGAGCTCTCCTCAACAAAACCCAGAGTGGGTGTTTGTGTTTGGGCTCAGCAGCTACACACTCAGATTTCACTGGAACAAGAGGAAATCAGTTTCATTTTTGCAAAGCGCTCCTTCATTCCTAGAGCGCCTCCAATCTAAGCAGATCTGGGAGTAATATGAACGTGTTTCAAACGAGGAGAAAAAGATAATATTACCTCAGGTTTTTTTCTTTCGTATTTCTTCTCAACTCGGGCTTTCAATCCAGCGGAGAGTGATACGAGAGAGCGGTCCGATTATCTATGGGTTTATTAATGTTTTTGTTTCTGTAAGATGGTACGTTAACACAGGTGCTACATGTTGATTCAAACTGCTGTGAGCTTAAAAACGCAGGTGCAGGCCTCAGCCTATTTTTCATGGTGGGCCACTTCAAACACAGCAAAATTATCCATGTTAGATAAAAACCCCTCAGTGCGTCTGTCAAACCTCACTCACATGCAGGGCAGCGTTTTTATGCCTCGGCGCCGGCGACAGTCACGGCCAGAGGCGATACGTCTTCAGGTTCTCCGTCCGTCCCATTATCGTGACTGCGATATCTCAGTAACGCCCGAGGGAGTTTCTTCAAATTCTGCACAAACATTCACTTGGATTCAAGTAGATTTTGGTGGTTAAAGGTCAAAGGTCAAGGTCACTGTGACCTCACAACATATGTTACAAAACAACTGTGGTAATTATTAATTAATGCACAGTTGGCGCGCTGGACACTGACACACTGAGCACATCAATTTAAACTTTCTCTCTCTCTCTCTGTCGATAAATCCCTCTGCAGGTGAGGCAGGTGAGCGCCCGTGTTTAAAGGGGCTGTGATTTGCCGTGACTGTCACAACCTCTTAACACGCCGGCCCGTAATGTATGATAATCTATTCTTTCTGATCCCACCCTGTTTCCAGACAGGCCCGGCTGCAGAAATACCAAAGTGCACTTGGCACGCCCCCATCGCACTGGGCATGGCGTCCTGCACCACGTCACTCGGTTCATGAAAATAGACCCATAAGTGTTAATGACGGTTCGCTGGATGAGAAAAAACTTCCCCACTTCATCTGATGCTGCTCATTAAACGTTTGCAATAATTGTTGAAATGTTTGTTTTGTGCTTTGATCATAAGATGAGGCCTGAAGGTGCTGTCAGGGTGTCGTACCTGTTGAGATCGAGCATGATGCTGAAATAATGGCCGTTTCTAGCCTGTAAAAATGCTTGTAAATGTCTGTGCTAAACACCTTCATTTGCTGACTGGAGCATTGCACATCCTCTGCTTTAATCAAAATAAAAAAGGAGAGACATCAGTAATTTAAACAAACCATATAAAATGTCTTTTGCACACATATTGGATTCATTCATTTTTATGGCCTGAAGTCTCCGAACTGAGCGGCAGTATCTCATCACAGTAAAAGTCATGAGAAATATTGCTGCGGCTGCAAAACTGTGAGCTATGTGTTCTCATTTTTCCATTATGAAAGTATCTCACAGCAGTTACACCAAAACCATGACGGATGAATAACACATAACTACAAGCAGTGACATTTCTCATAATTTGTTGTGGTGAATCAGTGTGTGTGGTGTGTGGCAGCGCTCATTTTCAGACCTTAACAAGCCGTGTCAGTGGCTCTGTGAGGCCAGGCCGCACTGAGGCACAGCAATGCTCTGAGCTAAATGCTAACACCCCTAACATGCTGATGTTAAGCGAGTATAATGTTTACAGTGTTCACCATTTGAGTTTAGCAAGTTGACATTTGCTCATTAGCAGTAAACACAGCTGAGGTGACGGGAGTGTCATCGGCTCTGCAGGTATTTGGCTGTAAACAAAAGTATTGGACACAAGAAAAATTTGAACTGATGATGGCGATAGATGAAAAGTAATAAGATCACCAAGGTTTTTTACAGTTCACCCTGGGGGGGGGGGGGGGGGGGGCGTGAACGTCTGAATTACTTTTCATGGCAATCAACCCAACGTCAGCAGGACTCATTCATCCTCTGGGAACCATGAATGTCTGTGAGATATTTCATGGCAATCCATCCAGCGGTCGTTGAGATATTTCAGTCTGGGTAAAAAAAAGCGGTGGACAGACTGATGCTGACTAATGATGCAAACTGAAACGTGGGATAAAAAAAATGATTTAATATGTTTTAATTTCATTTTTTTAATTTCAGTTTTCAGTGGGAACCGATTTGTCGGCCCAATAAAACTGCAGATCTGTGGGGCATGACAAGCACCGGTGCCTTCTTGGGTTGTTGCGCAAGCATCTTTAGGGACTGGTTCGCCAGACTAATGTTGTTTAGTTAGAAGTACAACTGTAATCAATTGGATCAAGGTAATATACAAAGCGTTGACAATGTTTAAAACAAAAGAACAAGTGCTGCAATAAAGCATTAAGATGCCGCTGCTGTCCGAGGCTTTACAGTGTCTTCGCTGTGCTCCTCTTTTCAGAACACCAGAGTGCTGTTCAACGTCCGTGTGGTGGGAGGATCGGCCTTTTACAGCTACCTGTCACCTCAGGACGGGCGGCCGCTCTACCACCCAGCTGTCGACAGGTGAGGCTGGCGAAAATACACAAACACGTCACGTTAATCCCGGTAGAGGACACACACACTCAGCTGAGCAGCATGAGCCGTCTCTAAACACATCCAGACACCTCTTGTAACATGCTGCTGCTCTGGATGTGTAAACTGATTTTTACACACACATATGACTGGCATTTTGAAATTTTACTGGCTTTGTTCTGCGCAAGTTTCTCGGGGGGTGTTGATCGTGGTCCCTGCTTGAATCCTTTGATGCAGCTTTGGGAAGCACCCCGAGTATCAGATCCAAATAAGCGCCAATAAAAGGCCGTGCATCTCTCTTGCAAGCGTGCCTGGCAGTACACATACAGTACATACTACTTCAGTGTTTGTATTGGCAAGAAGAACATTTCTGCAGATGTGAACACAGTAAGCATTCAACTCCAGCGACCGTTATCGCTTTGGCTGACGGCCTGTCTGGACACTACCTTCTCCTATTATTGGACCAGAGATTATTAGATTATTCTAAATACGTTCTTTTGTTGTGGGATTACTGGTATCATGCTCAAACATTTCAATACTGAAATGACCCAATGTTCCCACAAGCTCATTCAAATTTGATCTAACGTAATCAATTTTAATGCAATTTAAATCTGCTCTAATCTAATGTAATCAAGCGTTTCTCGAGAACCACAGGCAGGCAGCCAGTTCCTGAAGACGTTATGACGTAAAAACACACGAGTGTAACTGTTAAAGTTGTGAAAGTCCAGCATTTGTTTTTGATTGACACCGTCTGTGCAGATGTTTGATTTCTCATCTCATCTTTTCGTTATACATCACAGCAGCTGTGAAGGTTGTGTGATGTATTTTACAGCAGCAGACTGAAACGTGCAGACGTTTTTTATCCCTTTTCATGATTGCATGTCTGATGCCTTCCACTTGCAGAAGTGAATTGCCGTTTCAAACAGGCATTTTGGCAAAGTCTTGAAAGGACTTGCATTTGTGTAGTCGCTAAGAACAGTTCACTCATTCGTTGAACGGTGCTGATGGGGCCAAATGTCTTTGAAATCTTTTGAAATGCAAATGTGCAGCACACTGTATCCTAGAAACTAATGTAATGATAGTGTTTGAACTCTAATGATTCGGAAATATGTTCTGTCCCCAAGTCAACCCACATCAAACAGTAGAAGAATGTACCAGCACAAGTGTTTTAGTGTACTTTGTTCACTCCTGTCAGCCTCTGTAAACTCTCTGAGTCTATGTCAAATGGCAGATACATTTTCTTATACAGGATATGTGACTGTTAGGTTACTTTATTTGTACCTGTAGGTAAATTTGGTTTGCAGTAAAAAAGCGTACAGACAACACCATGTGCACAAATATCTCTACAGCTATTAGATGGATTGCATTGAAATTTTGCACAGATATTGATGATCTCCACTTACTTTGACTTGATTTGTGGTTTTTAGTGAAATGTTTCAACGAGGATGCAAATGTCCGTACGGTAACATGCTAAGCTAATGCCGGCGAACATGGTAAACCTGCTTAGAATCAGCATATTAGCATTGTCACCGTGAGCATGTTAGCATGCTGACACCAAAGCACTAATGTGTAGTACAGCCTTGGCTAGCCGCTAGCACGGACATAGACTTTTATTCAAAGTGAACAGTGTCATAGTGAAAACAGACATAAATAGACGCCCTTTAGTAGATTCCCGCTCTTTCACTTTGCATCAACAGTTGTCTTTGCTTCTTGCAAATTAAGTTTAGCTTTGCTTGTTCAGTGCCAGATAGCACCCGACAATCCCCCACGTTTCACGCTTAATGAGCATCAACGGCTTTTTTCTCGAAACTGGAAATAGTAGTTCGACGAAATAATCTCACAATTAGATCTCATGAAGATCATGAGATGTGGTTGAGAATTCCAGAAAAAAGCTTTTAAGTGGACTTTGATTTAAGATTATTTTGTCAGTTCGCTGTTGATGTTTTAAAGCTTCTCTGTGATCTGTGTTAAGTTTTGGTTCCTATAACAATGTTTACCTTTATATTGTAGCTTATAATACATTTGTCTGCCCATAAAAATCCCCAATACAATCCCACATAGTCTCTTTTTCCTACAAGCAACGTCATTTCTCATTTCTCTGTCTGTGCACCACACGTCAAGGGTTCATGCAATGTGGTAATGCTGACACCTAGTGGTTGAAATGCATCAACACAAGTACGTTGCAGATGATTGAGAAAGAGTTGCTGGTGCAGAACGTTTCCTGTAAATGTCTCTCAACTTGAAAATGCAGCAAATTTTTTGTCCTTGTGTCTTTCAGAGCTCTGAAGCTCTGCGGCTCAGGAGGACCTCCGCACGTCAAGCTCATCATCGAGTGGGAGCACAGAATCAAAGACTGGTCAGTGAGTTTTTATATATATATATATATATATATATATATGTTACTGCAGCGTTCATGCTCTGTTAACCTGACAAAAGAATCTACTGTCTGCATGTCTTTGTCCCGGGCCGCAGCCTGTTTGGTAACATTCAGGAGGAGGTGGTGAAAGACGCGGAGAGTGTGAGGAATCAGCAGCAGCAGCACGTCCAACAGTACAGCTGCACCTTGGATGAGTGCTTCCAGCTCTACACCAAAGAGGAACAGGTAGTCCGTCTGTTATTATAGACACCTGCTACCTGCGACAGCCGTTAACAGCCATGCGCCGTGACACTGAGCCTCCTGAATCCCCTCCTTAATCTCCTCCTGTAAGATGCTGTGGGTATAAAAGTCTTATCTCAACCATAGATTTTCTGTGACGTTAATCCTGTTCTTAATGTTTCTTCAGAGTGTTAAATTGGTAACGGCAGCAGCGACGTGACTCATTTTATGATAGTGACAACAGTTAAGCCTTTCTGCAGCAGGTGTAATTAGTGATAGAAAGGTTGTTTTGAACAGACAGATGTCAGAACAGGAACGGTGTTAGATAGTTGTAAATGTATGGATTCAGTAAACACGATGGCTGCCGAAGAAAAAAAAGAAACACATAGTATATAATCATGAAATATATAAGAGCTTTAGTTTGGACATGTTAGCAACAGACATTAGTTTCTCAAATGTTTCATTTAATTCTTCATTTAATTTATAACATAGTTTTGCAGTTTGTTAATATTGATATATTATATTTACTACTTTCCATCAAATAAAAAATAGCACAGGTGAAAGATGAATGTATATACAGTGTGTGTACAATGTTAGTTCAAACAGTCGAACACAAACAAACGCACTGACATCCA